CGCGAGGCATATATTTGCGCAGCAGTAAGGAGAAGAATCGTAAAGCAGAGTTGAATATAGTTCAGCCTCTTAGTTCAGTTGGCCGGGAGACCCAAAAAGGGAAGCGCGGATCTCAGTGCAAGATCGGCCGGTACTCCGTCGTGATGTCTGAAGCAGCGGCAGCGCTCTGCTCGCACGCCCTCGCGAATGGCTTCCGTCTTCGCGCTCGAATGTCGGAGCTGACGTAGCCTATCGGCTTTGCTGACGCGTCCTTTCCCTTCCTTCAGCTTCCCTCAATGTGGTGGAGACCATTCTCAACTTCGCGTATCTTGGTCTTGCGCACTTTGCGGAGCCGCGCTATCTGGCTGTATCGCCTCTAGTTGGCTTCACCGCTGTGGTCATGACCTGGAGCAAGACTGCTCTCTATTGGCTGCAGGTGAGACCTTGGATTGGCCAGATGCTGCGTCTACCGCTCGCTGAGAGTCTTCATCCCAACCCAGGACTATCTGGGAGGACCAAACGGCTGGACCTACACAGGGTAAGTTCGGTCGTTGCCCTTTTTTCAGAAATGCGCCACTGATACCACCTGCTTCGCTTCAAATGTCTAGCCACAACTCCAACTTCGATTGGTGGATTCTGTTTGCCCTGCCAAATGGCTTGTGGCTCATTTTCCCCATCATCATCGCTGCTTTCTTTGGGCTTGAGATTGCGGAAAACCTGCGCTCCGCTGCTGGCGTTGCTGGCAATCCGAAGGGACCCTCCGCTGGAACTCGTTCCAGAAGCAAGAGTGGTAGAAAGAGCATCAAGAGCCAGTAAAGGGATCAAGCTGTTCGGCGGATCCTCATAGGCAGGAGGGGGGGGACCGAGCAGTTTCTCGCTATGTGAGCCGAATGGTCAAAGGAAGCAGATATGAACACGGATTGGTGCAAGGAGATACTCGAGTTATCCAGCGCCAGCGCTGGCGATACCCTGCGAATGTAATGGCTTGGCATATCCTTGATAAGGCAAAATTTGCCCAGCTCTGTGTACTGGCGCTGTCTCCTGACCTAGCTCGCTGCCGCTGCTAGCGTGTGCCGCCTTGCGGCAAGCAGGAAGGGGGCCCGAGGCGACTGAACGAGGGCGTCTGCCACGTATTTACAATCGTGAATCGAGGGAAACGGCGACCGCGTTCAAAATCGCCATGCACCTCGACGGCTCCGAAGGAAAGGGAAAACATCAAAAGAGGCGCTTCCTGGCTTCGATCTGAAGTAAGCCGGCTCGGGCGTCGAATGCCAGCTGCAAGCATGTGGGCACTTCATGTAGAGGCGCCGCGCACACACCTATGATTCACGATTTCACGATTCGTGATTCACACCGCGAGGTGACAGGTCACAGTGCAGATGTGTGTAGACTTGCTGCTGATCCGCGCTCCAAACTGTGCGGAGCTGCTGCATGGCCAGCATGCTTGCTGTGTCTGCTCCACTCGTGACTTGTTAGCTGATGCTTATCCGTCTTCGGCGACTTTCGGCCAGGTCGGCAAATTTGAACACCTAACATGTGCCCCCAAGCAAGTTCGTCTCTATAGATCCTGCAAAGCCATCATTTCTGACCTGCCCGCTTTGACGATTCAGAGGCGGCAAGGTATAAGAGCTAGCTTGTGTACGTGCGACCGATGACGAGGACTGCAGAGGTGAAATAACCTCGTCTGGGAGCAAGCCAAGCAAACGACAAAGGAATCACTGAATAGAGAGCGCCAGACACCCACCACCTCGTTGGGCCAGAGCATGAAAAGGATCGCCATTCACGTGATTGGAGATGTCAGGCTTTCCACAGCAGGGAGCTTGCAGCCGCGGTAGAGCTTCGCTATTTGGCGTCCGAGGGGCAACGACGCACTGGTGCAAATGCACTTGACCGAAGCAGATCGGTGGAATGTCGCCCGTGCGATCTGGTCAGGAAGAGGTTCTTCAAAACGTGCGCAGACGCACAAACCACGTCGAGGGCTATACCAATCTAGGATTTGGCTGCTACGGTGCTGAGCATTGGAAAGAGACCCAACGCTTGCCCACACGCGACACTTCATGGCTACCGGTAAACATAGAGTTCCGTGCTTGCTTCCGCAAGTCACAGTTGCGAGGCACACCGGCCGTCGCCACGAACACAATTCCGGCTCAAAGCTGACCGATCGAGATGCGCTGGCCTAGCTTTGAAGATGGCCGTGCTATGGTAAGACTCGGTGTCACGGTGTCACCGCGCCAGACTGCCCTGCCCTGAAGCAAGTCTACCAATTGTGTGGCTTGCGGCGGTCCTTCCCGGCCGCGGTGGACACGTAACACGCACCACCGGCTGCTTGAGACCCAGCCACTCACTCGATCGGATGTGATAGTCTTGAGGTGCTGCTCGTGGAAGGCATCGTGACTCGCCCCTCTCTAAGGAGGTGAGGGCGCCACGACCCAGACTGCTCAATGAATCGTGGAGGCGTCGAACCTGACGAAACGAAACGTGGCTGGAGTGTGCAACAGAAAGCGAGAGGGCGTGCACGTTGAACATCAATTTGGGACCCCGTCACACGTGTTCGGGTGGCCGAAGAGTCGAGATCGAGCAACGCTGTGGCCGCATCAATGGTGTACCGGTACCCTATAGCAGGTTACCGCTGGGTTCTGCAGGTCGGACAGCGGGACGGCGAAAAGAGAGCAAGCTAAGGAAAGAGGAGCAGCGGATTTATTCACTCGATACATTTGCTCGCGCCGCGCTGCTGCTGGGCAGGCCAAAACAAAGCTTTGCGTTCCCCCACCGCTGCTGCTTGCTGATGGCGGACGACGTAGGTACGATGGTCCATTGCCGATTGCCGCTTGTATGCTGGTGTCATGGAGCAGTCGCAGGAGCGCGCGAGTCTCACCAAGCGTCGTTGCCTGCTCATCGATCAGGACATCACATCTCTCACATCCGTTCATGTACGGATGTACAGAAAGGAGATCTGGCGTGCATATGGAGACAAGCCCATTCCCAGCTGGATGGTTTGAGACTCGTGACTACACTTGTAATCGCGATGCACACCATTCTGATTCATGATTGGAGTTGGAAATGTGGCGCAGTAAAAGAAGCCTGCATCTGCAGTCAGTTGCTCGGCTCAGAGAGCAGCGCAAATATGCATCATGCTGCACGCGCAGCCGTCGACAGAGTGCGGTGGAGCGTGGGGCGAACGTGTGATGCGGGGGGGAACGCCGGAGGCATGTATAGGCAAACAAAG